CCCGGGCCCCCACCAGCCAGTCCACCAGCTCCTTCCCGGAGCAGCACTGCCTGCAAGGGGAGAGGGCGTGAGAAACGCCCCCCGAAACGGGGCTGCGGTGCCCGGCACCCCAGGTGAGCCCTTGCCTGGGACGGGCAGCAGAAGTCCTGCCCTCCTCGGAGGGCTGCCGGGGTCCTCAGCAGCCCGCGGTGCCCCCCGGCATGGCAGGGGTGCCGGCCGTCCCACCTGTGGTGCCGCAGGTGATGCTTGTGGTCCCGGATGAGGCCAGGACGGGTGCTGGTGAGGTGGATGAAGAGGAGCTTCCCAGCTCGCCAGATCTTCTCCGAGGATGCCTGGGGGGTGGAAGGGGATTTTACAGCTTGCAGGGGAAGTGGGGAGGGCACGGGCAGCGAGACACGGACCCTGACTGCACTGACACCTCGCACGGTCGATCGTGCCCCCAACACCCTGCCTAAGGTGCGACACACTTGCACGCCCACCCCAGCACCCCAGGATCTCCATCACCTGCCCCCAGGAAAAGATGAGCCCAAGGACCGAGCATCCCAGAGCCGAGCTGAGGACCCCACGATATGCGGGTGGTCCGGCCCCCCACCCCTCACAGCCTTCAACACACGTTTCTCCATCTCCCACCTCCCCAAACTCATGTCCTCGTGGGTATTCCCAGCCCACCCACCTGGGTAAGGCTGTGTCCATAGTCCAGGGTGGATTCAGTGTCCAAAAGTGGGGTCTGGAAAACCGAAAAGAAGGGAGTTGGTGGCCACGGGGGCTCTGCCATGCCCCCCCCTCGCCCTGCACACCCCAGGGGGGCTCCCGCCTCCCCCAAGGCACAGTTCAGCTTCATCTGCTCTGCACCAGGCAAGGAGGCAAGCATCCCTGGGTGCTCACCAGCACCGATCTCCTAAAACCAAGGCAAAGCCTTTACTCTGCCCCATCCTTGCTGAAAACAGACGCGTAGCGGGGACCTAACCCCCCGAGCCCCCCCCGCGGTTATGTTTAACTTCAGAAAGGGAAGTGCATTCAAATGAGGGAGCTGGGAGATAAAAGAAGGAAGCTAAAAGTAAAATCCTTGCAAACAGGGATCAAAGACATCGTATTTGAGACATGGAGCTTGCCACTGGAAGGGAAGGACTTCAGAAAGACCTGGGGAAGCTGGCACAGCCTCAGGGGAGGGAGAGGTGTCCAAAGCCGGGGGTTTTCCTCCAGCTTTGAAGCCGGGTACAAACAAAGAGGATGGAAAAGATCCCAACTCCGGCGGGTTACGGGAACGGCCCAAGCAAAGCCTTGGAGAGCTGGAGGATCAGCTTGCAGAGGACTCCAAGGACTGGGCTCGTGGCCAGCCTGTCCCACGGCAGATGACGGGGAGCAAGAGCTCTCACGGAGGATCAGGGTAGCAGAGAGCCATGAGGAGTGCGTGCCCGAACCCTTCCCTGCAGACACCGTCTCGGGGGATTGGTCTCAAATCACAGCACGGCCAGAAAAACTTATGCAATAAATCCTGAAAAATCAGCTGTAACGAACCGCCGGGACGTGGCGGTCCCCAGCGCTGAGAGGAGCTCGGCAGTGAAACAGCCGAATTGCTACGGGTGACGTGTAACCTCGCGCTTCCCTTGGTGCCAAGGAGCTGGTGAATATGAAGCTGTTTTTCCAAAGGATTTTAAGGGAGGTCCTGGAAACGATGGACCAGCGAGGCAGAAAGTCACCGAGCATGTGCTGGGTATGGGGAAACAGCGCAGCGGGTAAAATTCAACACAGACGTGCCTAAAATAAGGCATATTAGGAGAATGCAAGCCCAATTTTCTCTCGCTTGTGGTCAGAGGATCTGAGCTCAAGCAGGAGCCCATGGCGGTGACCGAAAATGTGAACTCGGGCCTCGACAGCTGTAAAAAAATGCAAATAGTGGGACGGGTGTCAGTGGGAAGAGAGCAAAATAGGAAACCTCACTGATCCATCCCGGTTCACCGGCAATTCAGTGCTCCCTTAGCCTAAAGGAGAAAAAGGTGCCCTTTGGGGATGGAAAACCCCAGTCACCCACTGAGTTTTTTGCTCTATTTATCTTAAATCTGCACATGATGAGTTGATCCAATGCTGTTTTCTAAACCGGTTTCGCTTTAGTATCTCTGCCATTTACTGCTCCTAAAATAGCCCGGGGATCCTAAAATGGCTCGGGGAGTCCCTCCTGGAGCGATCTGTCATCACACCGTCGGGAATAGCTGGGGACCGTCTCCGGTCTGAGCCGTGGCCCCGCAGCGGGTCCCAGCTGTCCGGGACGGACCGGCTGCGGTGGCCCGGGACGGCCCGGCGGCCGCCCGCCACGGCACAACCCCGGGGTCGGGTTCAGCTCCGCCGGGAGCGATGCCAATCCCTGCCAGGCCACGCTTGAGTCCTCAGCTTCTCCATGACCACTCATCCCTCTGGATATCCCCCATCAGCAGCTGCTTTTTAATCCTTGCGCTTATTTTTCTCCCAGCTTTTTCCCCTCGGGGAGGGGATGCTCCAGGTAAAAGCAGAGCAACGAAGGGATGAGCCGGTGCCCACCCCAGCTGCAGCCCTAATCCCGGTGCAAAGGCGGCCGCGCTTTCATCCAGGCGCTGCCCAGAGGGACGAGGGCTCCCACGTGGCCACGGCCCTGAATAAACAACCTTTCATCCCGGCTGCGTGTGCTGCATAAACCACGGGCTGGGGGAAGCCGAGAGCACCCGTCAGACCTGTTCTCCACCCGCTGCCCCGCCGAGGCAGCTAATGCACTTTGAGCATTAACCCCGAGACAGGGTGAGAGCCATCCTTCCTTGGGGTGTCTTCACCTCGAGGGGAAGGTTTTGTGGTCCCCCCCTGTTTATTTCTGGCTGGTGAGGGGTCTGCAGCACTCCGGGCTGGTGGCGGAGGTGGTGGGCACTTGAAACACGGTGTCATCTGGGCCAGATCCTCCTCGGATCTGCTGGCTCTGGGCTGGTTGGGAAGGTCTGAGCAACCACAGCGAGAGGGACGGCTGGATGAAAGCCTCAATTAAGGAAGCCAAGGGCAGGAGTAATTAACTGCAGAAACCTTCTCTGCAAATGAATTCAAGGACAAAACAACCTACCAGGAGCTGAGGGGAAACCAAAGAGCCCTGGCACCTCCTGGCCCAGGCAGCAGGGTGATGGAGGTGGACACCCACTGACGGGTGCTCAGATGGGTGCTCTGCCCTGTGCTGCCTGCTTGCCTGTCCCAAACCCTGCCTGCTCACACCCTGCCCGGCTCAGGCTGCTCCCTCATTTCCTCCGGCCCTTTCCATACCCCCGGGGCTTCCCCATCCTCCTCCGGATAGCCCGGACAACTCGAGCCACCAACATGCCCCCAGCAGTTTGCAACTGGTTTAGGAGAGATTCGGGGAGTGGACGGAAGACAAGCAGCTCCGTGAACGCAGCAGGTCCCTGGGGATGCTCCTGATGCGGCCACGCTGCCGCTGAGGCTGGGACATCGTGACTTACTCTGCAAACTTTCCTGAGCCTCGTGACCGCCCTGTGGAACAGGAAACGCGCCGGCAATTGCAGTGCAAATGTTTGCAAACAGGAGCCGGGCTGCTGCCGCAGCATGGAGCTACCTCCCGTGGGACCCGGCGGTCGATGTCACCCCCTCGGGCGCAAGCGAAAGCTGCTCCGGTCCCCAGACAGCCTTTGCCGTCAACCCGTAAGCGAGGTCTGTCCTTGAGGCAGGGAGCCAGGACGTGCCATGGTCCTACTCCAAGCTGCGCTCACAAGGACACCGAGGGAGACTGAGAAAAGCCCTGCCCGAGGATGAGTGCTCGGAGCGATTTCTCCCTCCTAGGGTTTTCTCGTTGCCAGACCAGCTCTGAAACACATGCAAAATCTCACGGCTGGCCCCAAAAAACCCCTCCCGAAGCATCCTTGCTCCCCAACTCCGGGGTCTGGACCCACAGGATGCCCTCCCCACCCTCGCACCCTGCCTAATTGTCACAGCATCGCGGCCGCCGCCTCCAAACAGCTTCCTAAGGAGTTGCCTCTTTCCACCTTCCTGCTTACGGGACACACGGGTGCCGAGATCCTGCCTGTCTCCAGAAATCCGGCAGCAGCGGGCAGCTGGCCAAGGCCGGCAGTGACCGTTCCGTGCTCGCGCACTGCTTTTGTTTGGGATCCCGAGGAAAACAACAGGAGTTATTTCAGGCTTTACGGCTCCGGAGAAAGTCCTCGCCCATCCGCAGCCTCAAAAGGCACGGCAGCCAGCCCGGGGCTTGCCGTCCCCCCCCCCCCGAGCCTCGCCCGGGGCGGGGGCC